TAGGAGTTGATTTTTCCAATTATATAAATCTGTCGTTGAGAATGGCAATACTTTACATGGCTCCCCCTCTGCTCCTGGCAATAGTTTCCCTTAGTGGCAATTGGAGTTCTGTCTCAACTGCTACCTTGGACCGGGCGTGTGGTCTGGTTGATCTGTCCCTTTGGGAACCTTTTTGGTGTCCTTCTGTTGCAGCAGATTGAGGTTTGTAATCTACTTACGAAAGACCAGGACTTGAGACCACAAAGGTGAGAGAAACAGGTTTNATTTGCTAAAAATCTGTAAACCGCTTAGAGAGGCCTGAAAGGCCTATGAAGCGGTATATAAGTCTACTGCTATTGCTATTGCTATAGCCATTTGTCTGAACCGGTATAGGGTTTGCTGCCTAGGCAGGGGGTTGGACTAGAAGGCCTCCAAGGCCCCTTCCAACTCTGCTATTGCATTGTATTGTATTGATAATTTAAGAGCCAACAGTCACCTCACAATAGGACTGTTTATCCATAAAGCTCTATGATAGTGGGGGCAAACCTTTTACTCGAGTGCCAAGTGCCAAACAGGCACATGCGTGCTATCCACACTAATGTGTGGCTCCTCCCCAGTGTGCTGCATGTGCAACCACACCATCTGCGCATGCACACAGCCTCCACACACACTGTGCATTGCGTCCACAACCACACCATCTGCGCATGCATACAGCTTCCACACACCCCGTGCATTGCATCCACAGCCGCACCATCTGTGCACGGACGCGGCTTTTGTGCGGCTCCTCGGTGTGCTGTGCACGCAATCACACAATCTGTGCATGCGCAGCCTGCGTGCACGCAATGCATGCACAAATGCCATCTGTACATGTGCGCACTGCACAGAGGTACTCTTGCCCACATTGCACAAACACGCCTGCATGCACAGGAGAGCTCCGAAGACCAGCTGGGTCCCCTGAATTGCGCACATGCGCTCCAGAGGCCCGAACACCAGCTGGGGTGCACGCGCATGCACAGCTGCAGGAGACTTGGGCGACACCTCGTGTGCCCGGGAAGATGTCTCTGCATGCCATCTGTAACATGTGTGCCATAGGTTCGCCATCACGGCTCTATGGCTAAGGTAAAAATAAATAAACATTTACATTACAATCCCACATTCCATGTACAATATTGAGTTGTAATGTATTGAATAGGACTGGGATCTCCTGCTTGAGCAGAGGGTTGGACTAGAAGATCTCTAAGGTTCCTTCCAATCCTGTTGTGATTCCCAGAATGATGGATAGAAAGGGAAGACACAGGTAAAGAGGGTGAGAAGGAGGAAGGAAGGAAAGAGAAGAGGGAGGGAGGAAGGAAGGAAGGAAAGAAAAGAGGGAGGGAGGGAGGGAGGGAGGAAGGAAGGAAGGAAAAGAGTTTGGTTTAGTTTAGTTTATTGTCATCGCACATGGTACAACGAAATTAAATATCAACTTCTGTGTACATTACAATTATAAAAATATAAAAACACAAACATACATCCTTTACGTTCTATATAACTGAAATTGAAAACCCGATATTGCACTATACCGTAGAATTCAATATAGTTACTGCCCAGGGATAGAAGCTGTTTTTCAGCCTCTTTGTTCTTGTTTTTATTATCCTGTACCGTCTGCCAGATGGTAATAGTTCAAAAAAAGAATGAAGGAAGGAAGGAAGGAAAAGAGGGAGGGAGGGAAGGAAGGAAGGAAGGAAGGAAGGAAGGAAGGAAGGAAGGAAGGAAGGAAGGAAGGAAGGAAGGAAGGAAAAGATGGAAGAAAGAAGAAGAGAGGAAGGGGTTTGGGCTTGACTAGTTGGACTAGGGTTGGACTAGAAGACCTCCAAGGTCCCTTCCAAAGCTGTTATCCTGCATTCTGTACAAAAGACCTCTGACAAGATTAGATTAAGAAGGTTTTGTTATCTTATACCAGCAAAAGGCAAAAGTATTGACCAAATGTGAACCACTAATCTTGTGAGAGAAATCACATCTGGGTTGATTGACAGAATGTAAAGGGAAAAAAAACTTTTTGTATAAATATCTGAAATAACTTTTATTTTAGGGCACCTCTGCAGAAATAAACAGCTAAAATAATTGCCTTTCTCGTGCCAATGAAAAGTCAATCATCCAGGCCAATGGTTATCTAAAGAAAGATTAAATTAGGGCCACTGGACCAAACTTTTAACAAAGTTTTGCCACGATTTAACCTTTTATTTAAATTGCCTTCCTCATTCCTATGTGATTTACTATCCATTCATGCTGGGAAAACAGAACTCATCTGACACTCCCGTCAACAGCTGTTTCAATGGTTTTGTTAATAGATAACTAAAGGGGGGGAAAACATTTACTTTTCTCTTAATCAGTACAATAAATCTCATCTTCTGAATTCTCACTTAAGACTCAGCTCAGTATATAGCTGTATACAGCAATATTTTTAATTAGATAAATGTTTAAATGATATTAAATAAAATACCAATAAGACTCCACATGATGTGTGTGTATATACAGTGAATTCGATAAACAACTAAATAAAACAGGTGGAGATATTGGATATACATATTATGTATTCTATTACTTGCCCCCTTTTTTTCTTTGCTGTTTGTTTCTGGTTTTATCCAAGTAACAAAAATAAAAATGTTTACTACTACAGAAGAAAGAAACCAGTTTGTCTGCCAAGCAGGAAGCAAGTTACTCATTTGAGAAAAAAAATGCCTGAAAACATTTTCGCTGTCGTTAACAAACTGTTCCTAACTTTTAAAAAAATTGTAAGCGGTAAATCCTACAGAAGGTGCTCTTGCTGTCATTATTGCTATCGTTAGTTGTTTATTATTATTTCTTTTATTCATTAAGCATGAAACTCAGTCAAGTGCACATTTAAAGATGTGTTGTAAATATCATTGACTGGTGCTAATGGTTGATACGGTTCGCTGCCAGCGTCCTAGATATCAACCAAGGACCTTCTTCAAATACAAGATGTTCCGAGTAGCGCAAATTTTTGCAGTTCTGCTGGTGTTATTGCAGGAAGTTGCAATATTATATTATTATACAATTGTATCACAGCGGCCAGTTGTTTCGCCGGATTTGGCATTGGTTACTAGTCGGGCCCCATCCAGGGTCCTAGGACGTCGTAACGTATTTTCGTAATATGCGTGCAGATCCAAGCAGTGCGGCTTTTTGCATTTGACTGATG